CAATTAAATAAAAAACAATAAAAAAACAATAACATTCTCACGACGTTTCGACTGCAAGACAAGCAATCATCATCAGGTGTGAAAACAACAGCAAGAAAAAATGCAAAAAAATTCCACTGGATAATGTAGGAAGCCGGATAATCGCGTGCTGGATAATAGATGATCATCTGAATAAACATTTTAACATCACACTCTTAAAATCACATTGTAGGGCTGATGATAGCACAAGTGAGTTTTTATTTATTTAAAGATTTCGTGACTGCAGGGATTAATATTATTGGTTCTTTCGGTAAAGTCACGTAGAAGGGAAACAATAAAATAAAAAATATATAAAACAATAACATTTTCACGACGTTTCGACTGCAACACAAGCAATCATCATCAGGTTTGAAAAGCACAGCAAGAAATTTGAAAAAAACCGCCACTTTTTCAAAAATATCTTGCTGTGCTTTTCAAACCTGATGATGATTGCTTGTGTTGCAGTCAAAACGTCGTGAGAATTTTATTGTTTTATATTTTTAATTATTTTATTGTTTCCCTACTACGTGACTTTACCGAAATAACCAAGAATATGAATCCCTGCAGTCACGAAAGCTTTATATCAAAATGCATGCAAGGGAAGTTAAAATGAGATGGGAAGAGGGCGTGTAGAGGACAGCTGCTCACAAGATGGCGAAGGCAGACTTCAAGTGAAGATGGAGTGGCACGTGGTGGCGGCAGGAAGAATGGTGCAAGAGGCGAGGGAGTGGAGGGTGCTCTGCGTGAATGTTGGACAGGCCCACAGGGGGACTAAGCTAAATGATGCTACAACACTGTGTCGGCCAAGTCAAATTTGACTGGGTGTCACTGCGGATACAGCGTTCAACTCACAGTAAGAATGTTGGAATTCAAATGTCAGTCCAGAGCCAATTCACCCCATCATCTCCCAAGATCAATAAAATAAGTACCGCATTGCAGGGAGTAGACAATGAGATATTTGGCGTTTCCATTGCCGGCTTGGGAATACCGAGGAAGATGGACCAAGCCCCATGCTCCTTTTAACAAAAGGAGGCTTTGACTTGACCATATCGCTCAGGAAAGTCAGCGCTATGAAGGCAATGGGTTGGTGCATCACACAGGATCGACTCTCAAATACAACAGTCAAAATATATGCTTCAAATGAAGGCTTTCATTGTCCCCCCTTCACGACTTGACATGAACCCTCGGGTATAATCTTTATTTTCATAGTCACGCACCTTCACGCCAGAGTGACTTACAATGCAGATGCAATCCAATACCTAACGCGCACCACGGGGCAGCGATTAATGGTCTGTCTTACAGGGTTCCAGTTTTTTTTTAATTATGCATTCCAAAAAACACAATTACGAAAAATTCGGTTGAAGAGATTTTTTTTTACACCATAACTCGCACTGCTCGTGCATTTGTGTGGGATCCACGGGTGGGGTGGAGAGTGGGGGGCAGGCGTGATGACGTCGCCTGATTCACGTTCCCGGCTTAACGCTGTGGGATACTGGTGACGTCTGTACGCAGATGTGCGCGGTGACGTCATCACCGCGCGTTGGTTTACCCGTCCGCCAGCCAGCCAGGAAAACTTGTTTCTAACGTGTAATGGTGAGAGAGTTTTTTGTGATGGAGTCTCTCAGATAATAACGGATCTTTGTACCCTAGTTTTACGTTTTGCATTCATAAAAATAAAAGTGTTCCCTGAAACTCGAATGAACAAAAAAGTACGACTTGTAAACTGTTAAACGATGTCACCAACAGCATACAATTTTATTTGCCGAGCAGAATAAAGTTGAACGTCCATTAGCACCACATTCCCCACCGCACACACTTTACTGCTAAGAGCGATGTACCATTTAATGTGCTGTAGCATTAAATATTCAAAAAATCCAAAGTGTCTCATTGCTCAAACACGCGTATAATGGTCCTCATTCCCATCGGTGGCACGAATCCAATGAAGGAAATTCCATATTCATATTGGAAGTGACTACTATGTGTTATAATGCACAATGGATTATACAATATACGCAGGCTAATGACACAATTAAAATTGTGAATAGAAGTAAGCGGCTTGGACGGGGCACATCTTCGAAAAGACGATGGTCAAGAATAATGATGGAGTGGCAGCCAATAAATTGAAAGTATCGAGGGGTATCCACCAAGGGGAGATGGAGTGATGACATCAGCTCGTGTTCAGGTGATGGATGGATTATATCGAAGAGATGCTGGCAGATTGGAATGGCCTTCATCCAACACTAGATTTGCAAAGTCCTGTCCTGTATATTTATTTCGGCAAGACAGCAAGTGAACCCCGCCACATTAATGTGGAATTTCACCACAGGGCCAAGGCAACCCAACAAAAATCACCACCGGTCCCCTTTGCTTATTTGAGCAGAGACGCACACTCACTTTGAATTCGGTTTCAGGTGCAATTAGCAATTATATGCAGAGATGCGGTAATGTAAGGGGATGGAAATTATGGCGGACAGAGGTGGAGATGGCGATCATGGAAATTGAATTTGCAGCAGCAAATATGCAGTATCAATAATAATAACAACGATCTACTGTATATGGAAACCCCGATGCCCTCTTACCGAGTTAAATGAAGGCAAGTCAAATCAACGTATGTATAACACACTGCGGTTTTGAAGATAAAGATTCAGTCCTGTAACTGCTTGCTCACCCCACTGCCAGAAGGACGTCCACCACCGGGCGGGGCTCCTTAGGGCCAAGAGGAGATGGTGTCATGAAATCGGCTCTAAAGGGCATTTGGACTACTCGTTAACACTGGCCAGACATCTGAGACAAGCTGAGAGTAACCCACACGTGACCCCATCACACGTGACCTGCCAATATACCGACTTTGGCGGACCCATTTATATTCTCGGGTAGACAGAGGCGGTGGAAATTTAGAAACGTGTCCATTGCTTCAACTACCACACCAGAATATTGAGTCTAACCGATGACCTCTGGATTTGAAGTGCAGGGTGCAAACCATCAAACCGAAGCAGAGCAGAGGGCGGTGAAATCAAGGGGCGGGCAGGTGAGCTGCATGCAATTCACCTCACGGCCAAAGCGCACAAAACCTCGGTTGAGTTTTCAAAAATTCGTGGACATCGGCAGTCACATCTGTCCCACCCATTGCGATTACTCAAAGCGGACGATGGTTTGCGATGGGACGCGGCGTGGGTGTCCACGCACCTCTACTCCCAGCTCTCCTGGCCGCCACGAGCGGAGTGGGCTTAAATGTCCCTCGAATGAGCGAGTGGCAGTGCCTTCGGTGGGGATATCGCTGCGTGCGGGGCCGTAAGACAGAGTGCAACACAAGAACGTTACTTCTTCATGTGTCACTTTCTGATGGGAATGATCAATCATGAATATACTGTACTCCTCAAAACATCATTACTGGGCATGTGTGCTCTTTCAGCATTTTTCTCTCCGTTTTGCGCAATATTGCTTCTTGCTGTGAATGTTTAGATGCCTCCATGAGGAAAACAAGCTGGCAAGATAGTCCATTTCGTGAAGATCGATTTTTGTCCTGTGACGATATATAGCCTACAGTGCATTAGATTTTAATGCATTGCAAAACAAATTCAACGTGAAGTGGTGATACTCAAGACTGCATGCCTCTTGATGGAAATGCTCGTGAACATCAGACATCCAAGCATTAGATAAGTAACACCACCGGCACATCTCCTTATCACGCTTACATCGCTACTACCATGGTTGTTTCCTTGAACTTCACTCATTGAGGACTCTACCGGACTGACCGTCTCAACTAATCCATACTCTATTCACTCACCGCACTGTAGGTCACAAGCACACATTCACTAACTGACCCACCCACTCACCCATTCACTCGCCATGCTGCAGGTCACCTTACTTCTCTTTCTGCTTCTTCCCTTGCACCGCTTCCACTTTGAAATCCCCTCTCATTGTCTCTTTTCCCAAACTCGAATAACTTTCCTCAACTCAAGAAACGCGCGAACTGTTATGTTTGCAAACATTGTAAGTGCTATACTCTTTGCTTCTATTGGGTAAAGTCACGTAGATTTTTTGTTATTTTATTTTCACCTACGTGACTTTACCCAATAGAACCAAAGAGTATGGATCCTAGCAGTCACGAAAGCTTTAAATCTAGAATTGTAAGTGCTGTTTGTTGCTTGCTGCTTGGCCTTTGGGACCTTTGACTCTGTGCTCAGCAACTGTTTGAGAAAAAGGATTAGGGATAAGAATGTTCACTTTTAGGAGGGGAGAGTCCCTACATCGACCTAGCTGTGGTATTGTCCATTCAGTCTGCTGGGTGGACAGAGGCGGTGGGGGAGGGATATAAGACAGTTGCTCAAGGGCAAATGACGATAATAAGAGCATAATGATGCATTGATTCATATGTTAATATCGATTCTTTCTCAACAATACACGCATTGAATCGCATTTTTAAGAATCAATGCTTTTAGAATCAATGATCTGTGTCAGAGTTGATGATGAGTGTTTGTAGTTGCGGGTCCACGCGACCCATGCAGCCACTGCATGGCCGCTACGTTCAACACAAATCAAATCGCAACAATCCAGCGAGTCTGAGAGGGACATGGGGAGGTGAATGGAAATACCCCCAATCGTTAATACAATAGGGCGGCAGGGTGGCAGCGCAAACTCATGCCTCACAGCAAGCCTGGGTTTCATTACCGTCTTGGGAAACTTCCTGCGTGGAGTTTGTTCTCCCTCTGTACCGCGTATGATTCCTCCAGGTTCCCAGGCTTCCTCCCGTAGCTAATCACCTGTACGCGTATCTCTCGATTTACGAAAGGGAAGTGTTTTTCAAAAAACACGCCTAAAACAAAATGCCGTCAATCCGCGCGACTTTTCCCATTCATTTAATACTCTAAATTCCAAGTCTACTCCTCTCCCTAAAATGATACAACCATATCACTTTTCACAATAGAAAAAAAAATAACGCCAAAAAACGATTGAATATTTTGAAACAAAAAATAACAAACCTCTTCAGGGAACGTGCCAGAATACCTGCTTGCATGTTGGAGTGAGTGGAGAGGCGATGTGGAGGTGTTACTGCAGCACTGCAGGGACACCGTGATGCTGTTGCGGATGGACGACGCAGCCTTCTTGTTTGATGATCTCATGGTGCGTGCCGCAGTGGAATTTCGTTCACGCATAAATGTGATTTCATTAACCGAAAAGAAAGCCCACTGCTGAAAAATGTACTGCAAATGATTCAACGGCAACATTGCCCATACTGAGAACATTTGGCAGGACCCGACTGAAAAAGCGCAGAGATTCAGTGAGGCTTTCCTGGATAAACAACCACAATAATAATTAAAATATGAAGGTAACGTTGGGTCAGTATAAGACAACGAAATTGTTGCGTGACTCATTTATTGAATCAGAATTATCTAATTGAAAATTCAATCTCATACTGTCTCTTCAGAGTCACCTAATTGAAGATGCCTATTTGCAGGATAAATCAATTAGTTCTATGAAGTATTGACCCAGGCTTAAGAAGGACGGCAGAGCACAACAATATTGTATGACAACATCACTTAACTTAAATCGTGTTTACTTCCAGATAATACTGTTGTATGTATACATTGAATTACTCTTATTGATATTCCGTGCAAGAATACAAGGGTAGGAGTTGTGGTGCCGTGGCTAGCACAGGTCGCCATACACAGAATTTTATTCCCGGCTAACATCAGTGGTGAATTATAGTCGAACTGGTCTTTATCCCTCCCCTCTTCACAAGCCCGCAATGACCAGAATAGTGAAGTATGGCTAAACAACCCCCATAATTTACATGGCGTGATGATGCATTTACCCAGTATCCAGCAGTGCACTGACTTACATTAATAAACAGTTATCATAAATTACACAGCCAATGTGCACTTAAATCAACATGCAGCATTGTTGCATCCTTAATTTAAGCACACACTAATAAGGCAATTCATTAAGAGTGAGAATGCTTTGTACTATGTTTTGAAGTTACTCGACATGAATATAAATTGGATTTTATTCCATTATATTGTAAGCTTATTTAAGCAAAACATTTTGTATTTGTACTTCAATGGCATCAGGTGTGACTGGTATCCTGGACACCGCAGCCCCTCCGTGAAGAAGATCCACAGCTGCCCTACTCACGAGGGTGAATTGTAAAGGCGCAGGGCTGCAATTCCTTCCCCGTGCTGCTGCTGCTGGCGAAAGGGCCACAACTATGGGAGCTCTATAGAGCCCCCGAATGGGTAATCGGCCGATTCTTCCACATTAGCCAGACGTCTTGGGAAAAGTGGGAGTACCCAGAATTTACCCCACCACACGTGGCAGCAATCTTTTGATCTTTCTACAGATAGTTTGTAATTATATTCATAACTGATTTTATTCGCAAGATTCTCTGCTCTTGTTTTCAGCACTGTTGTTTAAATCGGTTATAAAACCGTTTAATACCTTTTATTATTGTGTAGTGTGAGCAATAATTATTCCAACTCTACCAAAGAAGTGTTCCCCAATTGTGAATCACCAGAGTAAAGGTTTAGTCGTGTAAGCAAACAGATGTCTAGAAACAGTCGATACATTCCCATGCATTCATTGTTTTCTATTCAATACAGTTGAATTAATCTCAATGAAAAGTCGGACAAAACAACAAGACGCATTCATCATCAAACCGACCGCATTTAAATAAAGTTTATATGCAGTACGGTATTCTAAAACAGACACAATTTGCAAATACTGTAATTGTGATTATATGCAATGGCAATTGGCTTCCAGACGAATTTTTCACAATCGCCTTCATGCTCAAATGGGCAGTGGGGTAACAGTTGTTGGCAGAAATATGTTTCCATCATCCCGATAGCAGGGATGAGTCCAATATTTACTTTTCCCTCAGGGAGATGGAGGTGCAAGAGCCCATCTTCGAACGGGATTTGAACTGATAACCTTCCGATTGTGAGGCACACGCCACGACCACTGTACCGGCTGTCAGATGGCGCAGTGCATAATGCAGGAGACAAGTTTAAGCCCGTGTGTACATAGCCTGATTCTGCATGAAACAGCTTAGCTGCCAGTGAAGTGCTAAGATCAGGTCTGTCTGATAGATTTTATGTAAATTCTCTGGCACTCGATCAATCATCCTGTTTAGGTCGTGTGTCTCGTGCTGGCGATGTCTATGCCGCACGTACGGAAAATAACTGACTGTCGATTTTTTACAAAGGTATTCTCGAGTAAACGTGACCATGAAGAAGTATCTGACTGTAGAGTCATTGTTATAATTTCATGGAGTGAGTGGGGTACTCATTTAATCCTGCGATAAAACGATGCGATGCGGTGTGAGCACGTGTGTGTTGATAAAAAAAAAACGTTAAATCGCTTCCCATTAATATGATAGGTCGGTACACCTGTTTACGCCATTGGTACAAATTCCCCTAGTGGGGGGAGGACATCCATAAGACAATCACTGTTGTCTACCAACAAAGTAATATTCAACCAATATACACCTCCTAGGGATGAAGGGTTAAGTCGATCCACGACCAGGATTTTAACTAATGCTCTCCACATTGCTGCGCTGCTTGTTCAGGAATAAGCACCATCTCTTTATGCTCTTCCATCAGTCAGCACATTGCTGCCGACAAGGGGGCAGACCCAACTTGTACCACTCATCATTTCTTTCTCTGCTCACGGCGATCCCTTCCTGCAGACGGGCAGCAGGGTGGCGCCGTGGTCACCCTCGTGCCTCACGGCAACACAAGTGCCCGGGTTCGATTTCTGACTCGGGCACCTTTTGGTATGGAGTTTGTATGTTCTCCACCTGCTCCGCATGGGTTGCCTCTGGGTTCTCCAGTTTTCTCCCATAGCTAAAAACATATACAATGTATCTGGTATTGGCCAAACATACCAATGCCAAAAAAATGACATGCAAAGTACTAAATTGGGATCTCACATAACAACATCTACTCCAACTGCAACAACTTGGCAGGATCCTGAATAAAAATGTCATCACTATAATAAAAATACATGTTGCTCTTGCAAGTTTCTACAATATGCCATCAATTCACCGTTTGTGTATACAGCCTCCAGGTCTTACTCTTTCCACATGGTAGCGCCAGGCCAATGATGGTAATTTGTTGAAAATTATACCGACTCATTTATTACTTTATCTCTCAATAAATCGATACGAAACGCCATTTGACATAATCAGAGCACAAAGATGGGCCTCAATTCATGCTTCCCACGGAGCAGGAGACAATGGTTCTATCTCGTTTTCAAAACCTCTCACCACCTCAGTTGTGCAATGCCTTCAGTCAGTGGATGAACGAGCCTTCCTCTTCACTGCTCTCAATGTTTCCACCGACGCCTAGACTGCCCAACTGGGGCTATACACTTTTAAATCGAGATGGAAAACGAATTTCTCTAGAACAGCTTTTTGTATTTAGCTTGTTGTCTTTCCCCCGCACCTCTGATTAGCATGGTTGGCAACGTACGGTGCAAAATAAGTTGAACATACATACGGTTGGACACTTAAAGGATACTCAACTCACAATTAGAAGATTGTGAGTTCAAATCCTAGCCTGGGATCAACTCAACCCACCTTCCCAATCTATTAAAAAGTACAATTTTCTTAGGAAGCCACAAGTAATTAATTATCCGATGAAACAACTTGCGCCTACCATGGGAACGTAGAATTTCCATCACTGGCTCAGGCCTGGTAATGCAGATGAACAGTGTTCCAATGCTCTTTTCGTTGTAACGCCCAGAGCAGATATTTCACTCGTCGGTGCCACCAAAGGTGACATAACTTTCGCGGTTCCAATTTCTGTGTGTAGATAATGAGTTGGTTATCGAGTAATTACTCTCATTAGCAGTACAAATACATTGTTACTTTTAATGTTTTTCTACCTTAGGTGGTAACTACATCTGTCCTAGCAAATGGACTATTTGACTTTTCGTTCAAATGTATAACTCACTATACATCTGTACGCCATTGCCTGTGGTTAATCTTGCATTGAGATTATGTTTCCCCATACTTACATACCAGCTGTTCATACCGTGTGTGTCCTTGCCAACAAGCGTCTATCCACTTAATTATACTGTGATCTGTGTTAAACGCTCAATCATTTAACTTCCATCCCATTAAATTGTTTTGCATTCTCCCTATGTTATAGAGTGTCTTGATAGAGCATACATTAAAAACCAGCTGTAATTATGTTTCATGTTGTGTTGTTAAGCCTAGCTCGACCTCCTGATGCTGAGGGGCCCGTTTAAGACAACACTGAGCCAAATTAAGTACAGCGGCTTCTCAAGTGGACAGAGTTTGACGGCTCAGCCACATTAATGATCCCACAAGACAAATAATTCAGAATTACATTTCTGTCAAGAGGCAGCTGGGTGGTTTAGAAAGCTATAACCAAAGCAACGAGCTCACTCCATTGAAACCTTTGGTTCCAATCCAGGTTTCAGGAACCGTGGTTAAAACAGGTTCCCCAGTCTTGATTTGAAGCTTTTGTGACTGTAGGAATCCATATTCTTTGGTTCTTTCGGTAAAGTCACGTAGGTAGAAATAAAAAAAAATATAAATCACGACGTTTCGACCGCTTGTGTTGCGATCGAAACGTCGTGATTTGTTTTATTTTATTTCTAACTACGTGACTTTACCGAAAGAACCAAAGAGTATGGTTCTCCAGTGTCGTGAGTTGATGGTCTCTCTGCCCGATCACCAATAAGTACACCATTTGCTTTCCCCTAGATTCAACTTATTTGCAGCTATGTAGATTACAACATTTTCAGTTTGTATTGCCATTTCTCATCTCTGTCGTAGGGTAAGTAATAAGGACAGCATCACCGTTCTGGAAGAGAGGCAATTAGAAGGGATCTCAGAAATATGTCTATTTTGTCAACATTATTGAAAATGTTGTCATGTTGTGACTCGATGCCAATCAGCAAAAAACTGTAGAATTCTGTAGATATTATTTGAAAAAATATCGGTAAAAAACTATTCAATTGCGTAAAGTTGTTTGCTCCAGCAGTGTACTGAGAAATGGCTGAACGTGCTCACGTCTCAGGAATCTACTGTTTGCTCAATTCAGTATCAAAAGATTAAACATTAAATTCCTGGACACAGACAGCTGTGAGTATGAATGGCACCATCTTGTATCAACGTGAGTACGATGGAGCACCGTGGTGTTGGTGTGATGGTTTGCAGCGCACCGGACTTGCACAGTCCAGAGGTCACCAGTTCGATCTTCCAGTACGGTAGTTGGAACAAGAGTACAAGATGGGGGGTATGGAAGTGTAGATCACAATACCCTCAATCGCAGCTCTCTAGAGCTCCCTCGAGTGGAGGCTCATCTGCCAACAGGAATGTGGGCAAGCAATTGCATGGCTGCACCTGGGTATGAAAACACTTCATCCTTTGACAATTAAATATATTTTTTGATGAGGTGACAAGGATATAAAGATGCATACTTTAAGGATCTTTGTGTGAATTATCTCAGGGTCCCTCAGTCATTTTCTCAACATGATGTGCATATCAGCTGTTGGGCGTTCTGAAATAGAATCTGCATCACGTGATCACCATAAACACCCCTGATCTCCTTAGATCTCAGAAGCTAAGCAGAGCTGTGCCTGATTATTTCTTCAAATTGAAACCATCAGAACTTGCCAGGCATTATAGAAGTGGGGCTGTGATGGGGCCAGGAGCGATGTCCGTGTGGAGTGTCACCCTCTCGTGTATGGGGGTCTTTTTCTGTTTCCTCCCACACACCAATTACTGATTCATGGAATTGGCCAAATGTCTCCATGCAGGACCCTCATAAAAAAGTGTAATGAGACTCAGCGAGGCTTTTGTGAGCAACTGCCATAATTTATGGACATAATTATGAGTGTGACAAGTAATGGCACCAAATGGCAGTATATTTAACAAGGCTTGTGGTTTGTTGAAATAATGAGGGCAGTTGCTGATTTTTGCATGTCTACCTAATCACCCCCTCGTCTACCCACAATCATAGCAGATAAAACATAACTCTGCTTCAAAGACGACCCAACCCAGAAAGCAACTAGGTTCTGTTTGACTTCATTTTCTAAACAATATTGATTTTTAGAAAAGCTGCAGTCAAAATCTGCTTCTGTAACGAAATTGCCAATTCACCTCTCAAATCCCGGGTCTGGCTCCAAATCGCTGCTGCTGCCATTACGGATTTCCAATTCCCCATCCTATGCTGGGCTTCACAGTCATAACAAAGGCTGTGGTTTTGTCACAGGGATCACAGTGGCCATTAAAATTATGAATTTGAATAAAGTCCAAGGAAATCTGGAAATTACTGTAAAAACGCAGATCAGGCGACTCCAAGATTTCCATTAAAAAATGCCGTATGCCATAAAACTGAATCCTGTGCGGTGCTAGCAGAGGGGAGTGCACGGGAGGGGAGGGCAGGGGAGGGGAGGGGGTGAGGGGAGGGGTGAGTGAGGGGCATAGGGCTGCCCCGAAGCAAACTAGGCACCCCATATTTAAATAATTTTGAATTATTCTGTTTGAATCAATCTATGAATTGATTAAAGATTTTAAAAAAAATAACATGCCTTAAATTATGCACTCGGTTTAAGTTTATCTTTAACTTATAACAGAAATAAGTATTTTTAATAAAGAGTTAATATTTACGTGGCCCACTATTTCATCTTCTTATATGACGATTCCTTGTTTTTTTGTTGAGACTATGGGTCAGTGTTGAGGCTATGGGTCGGTGTTGAGGCTGTGGGTCAGTGTGGAGGTTGTGGGTCAGTGTTGAGGCTGTGGGTCAGTGTGGAAGTTGTGGGTCATGGTTGAGGATGGGGTCAGTGTTGAGACTGTGGGTCAGTGTGAAGATTGTGGGTCATGGTTGAGGATGGGGTCAGTGTTGAGACTGGGGGCAGTGTGAAAGCTGTGGGTCAGTGTTGAGACAGTGGGTCAGTGTTGAGGCTGTGTGTCAGTATTGAGGCTGGGGTCAGTATTGAGGCTGGGTCAGTATTGAGGCTGTGGATCAGTGTGGAGGCTGTAGGTCAGTGTTGAGGCTGGGGGTCAGTATTGAGGCTGTGGGTCAGTGTTGAGGCTGTGGGTCAGTGTTGAGACTGTGGGTCAGTGTGGAGATTGTGGGTCATGGTTGAGGATGGGGTCAGTGTTGAGACTGGGGGCAGTGTGAAAGCTGTGGGTCAGTGTTGAGACAGTGGGTCAGTGTTGAGGCTGTGTGTTAGTATTGAGGCTGGGTCAGTATTGAGGCTGTGGATCAGTGTGGAGGCTGTAGGTCAGTGTTGAGGCTGTGGGTCAGTGTGGAGGCAGTGGGTTCACGTGCAGGCTATACATTTATGTTGAGGCTCAGAGTAACTGGTGAAGCTGTGGGTTAGTGTTGAGGCTACACGGATGCTTCACTGTGCAGCTGTACAAAACAGTAATAGCATGCAAATGAGTCAGAGGGAACGTGATTTCCCTGATGTCCACTCAAACCTCCTGTATCTAATTCATACTGTCGTGGCTTCTTTCTCAGGGAAACGATATTACTTATAAATGTCGATGAGCAATGGCCCACCAATGCATTTTGTAATTTTGTGCACAAACCCTCCACGATTAACCCCAAAGACCTAACTTTTGACCCATTTGGCAGTGTGCCCAGAGATGGTCATTATGGGCCTCCTGAGAGAGCAAGGAAGAGCCAAAAAGAGCCGGAAAACCAGCCCAGGGGGATGGAATTTAAAACATCACAAGTCCTGGCTCAGAACTCCAACACAACCATTACGAACCTCTAGAAAGACACAAGATGATCTTTATTCTGAGGTAAAGTTCTCACCAGTTTGCATGCATTAATTGCTTCAATCCCCACTACTTCCCATGATTTTCTACAGGGAATTCCAAACGCAGGCTTCCTGCTGTAAATCGACTTCAAAGACCAAATGGTGTCACTCACAATAGAAGTGGCCATTATGTGGGATTTTTACAGCTCTAATGTAACTGTTGACATTTCCCCAAAACTAAAAATGACTGTTACCTACATAATTGGACATCCAGCACTTCCTTGCTGAAGGGATATGAATGCCAGCCGGCTCTCACTGGACTATGTAATAAACATTCAATACATTATTAATATCTTGTACTCAATAATCATCTGTGCTGAGGTATTTTGTCCAGCTTCTAAAAACATTAATTGGTCCATATTTCCGTTTATTCTCTACAACGGATGAAAGCCAGTGGGTGATAAATTCCCTTATGATGCTGTCATAGGTCGAATGCAATATTGCATTGTGGTGGAGTAAATCGTGGGTATCGTTTTCTCATCAAAGCATTTGATTGGCTCGAACATTTGAGGGAGAGGAACCAATAGCAGTGCAGTGCCCTGCAGCAGCGGTTACACTCTCGTGCACATTGATGACATAAACATTGAGTTTCTGAATGAGTGGTATTTAATGAGGACCAAAGGGTACGATGAAATAGAATCTCTTGGTTTTGTCTGCCTTTGACTTGCAAGATACTTTGCGCTGACTTTCAAGGACATTTTACTTTTAAGCTTGTCCACCGATTCTTACACTCTTCAGTGCCCAAAAAATGTTTTTCTTTGAGGCTATAAGGACTTATCTCTCTAAGCCTGTCCATCGCCTCAACGAGATTGTTCCCAGAAAAATGCCTATGCATTTGAAAAGCAATTTTTTTGGCAGCTGGCCAGAGAGAATTTCCTTTTCTTCATGGCCCAACCATGCCATGTCTCAAGCGAAGCAATATTTTAACACTTACGTTTACAGTGAGGGAAAAAAAGTATTTGATCCCCTGCTGATTTTGTACGTTTTCCCACTGACAAATAAATGATCAGTCTATAATTCTTTTTGATTGAGAGGGGGTCAAATACTTATTTCCCTCATTAAAATGCAAATCTATTTATAACATTTTGACATGCGTTTTTATGGATTTTCTTGTTGTTATTCTGTCTCTCACTGTTCAAATAAACCTACCATTAAAATTATAGATTGATCATTTCTTTGTCAGTGGGCAAACGTACAAAATCAGCAGGGGATCAAATACTTTTTTCCCTCACTGTACAGGTGTAGAGTAGTAGTTAGTGACGTAATGTCACGCTCGCCCTCCGGTACGACGATGTCACGTATGGTGACGTCATGGACAGGGGGCGGGACGGTGATATCATGTCCCCCTGGGATATTTAGGTTGGGACCCGTGACGTGTTCGAGGTCGTTGCGGGGAGCCAGGAACGTGTGAAGTTGGGAGTTGGGACCCAGTGTAGGGGGAAATTAGCACCTGGCTCGGGAACCTGGGGGTGTGCTAGGGACCTCCCCAGTACCCTTCCCCTGGGGGAGCGATGGGACCCAGGGTAGGGGGAAATTAGCACCAGGTTAGGGTAGCCTGTGGGTGTGCTAGGGACTTCCCCAGTACCCTTCCCCTGGGATGTAGAGTGTAGGCAGTGAGCGTGCAGTACACGGAGTCGTGGATGAAGAAAACTCCTTAATAAAACAACTGGCGCAAGCCCCGACATGAAGATCTGCCTCCGAGTCGTCATT